CTTGCAGCCACTTGCAGCCAGTTGCCCAAGCAGCCACTTGCAGCCACTTGCAGCTACTTGCAGCTACTTGCAACCACTTGCCGCCACTTGCCCAAGCAGCCACTTGCCCCGCAGCCACAAGCAGCCACAAGCAGCCACAAGCAGCCACAAGCAGCTGCAAGCAGCCACAAGCAGCCACTTGCCGCCACTTGCCCAAGCAGCCACTTGCAGCCACCTGCAGCCACTTGCAGCCACTTGCAGCCACTTGCAGCCACCTGCAGCCACTTGCAGCCACTTGCAGCCACTTGCAGCCACTGGCAAGTGGCTGCAAGTGGCTGCTTTTTTGAAAATCAAATTGCGCACCTCCTGCGCCCACAATGTTTTAAAAAGCCTTCATTTTTTTTTCGGCTTTGGCGCCGGGATCCGTTTTTGGAGCAGGTTTTGGCGAGGAGAAGCTTCTGTCTTGCCAACGTGATTCTATTGGCTTCTGCAAGCTGGTGCTTGCAAATTGCATTGGGGTGGCTGCGTCAAAGTTGCTATTGCGCACGTAGTTCCATGATGTTCCATGGTCTATTGCAACTCACTGCTTGCAAATCCTATTGAAGTGGCTGCATCAATATTGCTCTGAGTTGCTGCTGCGAACGTAATTCTTTTTCCCGCTGCTTGCAAATCGCATTGGGGTGGCTGCGTCACTGCTGCTCTATGTTGCTATTGCGTACAGTAGTAGTTCCATGGTCTTTTAAAACTTGTTGCTTGCAAATCGCATTGGAATGGTTGCGCCAAAGTTGCGACGATGAGTTTTCGATGACTTTTTCTTTTTGGCTTTTTCCGTTTTCCTTTTGAATTTGCTTTTCAAAGGGCTTCAAAATGATACACTGGTACTTTTCGTGGCTTTGGCGCCGAGATCCGGTTTTGGAGCAGGTTTTCTGAGATATTCTGAGATGATCCGAGGGTGAGCTGAGAAGAGCTGAGATCAGCTGAGAAGATGTAAGAAGAGCTGATAAGAGCTTAGAAGATGTGAGAAGAGGACGGAAGAGATGAGAAGACATGAGAGGAGCTGACATGAGCTGAGAAGAGCTGAGAAAACCTGAGAAATCTGCGATGAGATGAGATGGGATGAGTTGAGACGACCTGACATGAGAAGAGCGGTGAAGAGCTGAGAGGAGCTGAGTTGAGACGAGCTTCGTAGAATGGAGAGGCTGAGAATAGCTGAAAAGAGAAGAGTTCAGATGAGCTGACAAGAGAGGAGACAAGCTCAGATGACATGAGAAAAGATGAGAACAGTTGCGATCAGCTGAGAAGGGCTTAGAAAAGGAAAAAAACATGAGATGAGATGAGATGAGATGAGATGAGACTAGGGGAGATGAGATGAGGTGAAAAACGTTGAGAAGACACAACATGAGATGAGATGAGATGGGGTGACACAGACTGCGGTGACAATGGGGTGCAATGAGTACTGTCCAAGAGAAGCTGCGATGCGATGAGATCAGATGAAATGAGAAAAGATCCAGCCTTGAAAAGACATGTCACAGGAGTGAAATGTCAAGAAAATTTTGCTGCGAGGCACAGAAGGCTTGCCCGCACCCTATAGGCACATTCTTTGTTCCGGTCTTGGGCTATAGGCGTTTCAGTTTTGAAACTTCCGCCCCCGGCTTGCCCGGGTACTACTTGTAGTGGGGAAGTTTGTGAGATGGGCAGGATCACCTGTCGCGTCTGCCTGGTGCCCTAGGAATCACGTGTACCTCCCATGAATGGCCTGTGCTTGGGGGGCGGGAAGGTCTGCAATGCGTATGTATCTCCATGTGAGCTTGTGTTCGAACATAACTCTGCGCATTGATGCAGGGCTGGGTACGGGGTATGAATGAATCTCCACGTGGGGATGGTGAGTGTGCGTTTGTGGGTGAGTGGGATATGATATGAATGTGGTCAGAAGGGTGGGGCAAAAAGCATTCTACCAAATTTATATGGGCTTGGGGTCGGGTGTAGGATAGCGATTCTGGTTTGCTTTTATTCTAGCGTGTCTGGGGTCGGGACAGAACTAAAAGGGTCTGCTCAAGTCTACTGCGTTGAAAAACTGCATTGTCTTGTCTAGAAGCCTTGCAGCTCGTCTTCTTGTAAGAATGTGGGATTGCAACTGCCACACCTTCCGCACGGAAACCAACCCAAGTCAAAACTGGTCAAAACACTTATTACAGTATTTTTTTGAGTGGGGAGTGGAAAGCCAGGCAATTTCTTCTCTTGCCTCGAAGTCTGCAATCTTGAATGTTGAAAATGGAGAGAACATTGACAAATGACAAAAAATGACGAAAAATTACGAAAACAATGAATGTTTTGCAATTGCTCAGCAGCCTCACCTTCGGGTGCCTTTGCTACGAAATGCTACGAATGCAAGCACAAAATCACTACAAAATAGCTTAAAACAATGCACAATTCGACGGTGGCTCTCCTGCAAGCACGGCAGCTGCTGTTGTACTGACCCGATTGACCCTGTGGCCCGGCACGCTCAGATTTGCCCACATCACGCGCTCAGCATATTCCACATGCGGTACAGGAACTACAAGCTTAGCAGTGCCATTGCTTTTTCACGCACGCCAAACGAGCTGAACTAGGCCAGCAAGGGATTTTGTGCTGTTGGCACCCATTCATCTCTGCGTCAAGATCAGCCATGTCTGTTCAACTTTTAGACCTGCAATGTTGGCATGGCTTGACTGGTGAACAATTGAGCACACAAGCTACAGCAGCATGCATCAAGGACACCGAGGATATTAGACACGATCGCTTACGGAAGCCACTGGTCACTGGCCTTCGAGTGGCTGCTATGGCATGCTATGGCTGGAGTGTTGGCATGCTGTTCTTTTGCACCGCAGAGTCCAATGTGACAGCAGCAGTGGCTTTCTGTCCAACCTAATTGCCCCTTTGAGACGGTGGCGGGTTTTGAAAAACAAAAAGGCAAGTGACAAGCACAACACCAGCATAGAACTGCCTTTGACATCGCCTTTGCTTGAGATGGTTTGGACTGCTTCAGGACAAAGAGTAATATGTTGCCATAGATTTCGCGTAGCTATCGAAAACATTCGAAAACCACTTGAGACATTGTTAGTCATGAGATGTCGTGAGACTATGGATTCCTAGAACGCCACGCTGTCCTGCCGTCCTGCCTGTCCAAAACTGCACACTCGGCTTTGCTGCTTCGCTTCTTCGCTTCTTCGCTTGGTTCTGGCGGCTGACAGCGGTTTACATGCACCAGGGATCACCAGGGCATCCAAGGCTGGCGCCTGGACCGAGCCCAAGCGAACCAAGCGGAGAGACACCGAGTTCTGGGCTCAGCGGGCCAATTGGAACAATGCAAAACAATCATACGAAATAAACAACCAAAACAACCAAAACAAGATAGGAAGCAAATGGAAGCAATATAAACAATCATGAGCAGTTATGAGCTATAGCAGCTGTGATGGACCAATGGCCAATGGCTTGCTGGCCTTTGCTGGCCATCGCTGGCCATCACTGCCCATTGCTGACCATTGCCCAGTAATGTGAGCTTTCTGCAGGACGGCTGTGATTCGCAGTCTTGGCCTGGACTGCTTCGTACGCTTCATGCTTCAATTTGGGGCCAGTGAAAAACAAGAACAAGTCATAACAAGTCTTTTGACAATCTTTGACATGCATCAGGATGGCTCAGGTATCGTTAAAAAACACATATGAGACCAAGCCATTTGAAAGGAAAGACACTCGCTTGTGCCTGACAAACTGAAGCATTGAAAGCAGTCTGGCTGCTATCTATTTTCTGCCGCAATATTGCAGACAGCCTGATTCAATTTCCAATTTTATCACAGCCTACTCACTCTGGAGAGCATAAAATGACTTAGGCATTCTCACCAGCTGACTTGGGCAGTTCTGTGATCTTTCCGATGGCAATCGTCCTCCCATCCACTCGGAGAGTGAAGCGGCCCAGCTGCTGCGAAGACTGGAACGTGTCCAGCGCAGTCGGTCTTGCAAGCTTGATGCTGCAAACAACGACCGAATCTGGTCTCGCAAACTGCGGGTTCTTCTCTTTTTTCTTTGTCTGAATGACCATCGTTTCATAGAGCTTCAAAATCTCACACTCCTCACTTGCAGTGTGCGCATGCATGACTGCGACATATCCTGAAGTCATCACCGGTCTATCAGGGCCCAACTCAATGAGATGGATTTGGGCCTTGAACTTTGTAACGACGGGTATGGGCTGGTTCTGGAAGCACAGGACGTAACCCTTCTTCAGCTCTTCATCGCTAATGTTGGTCATCTTCAGTGTCACATTTTCGCCACATGTTGCATACTGCATGTCAACATCATTGATGAAGACGGAAGCCACGGTGCACTTGTTGTAGGTTGGCATCACAATGCATTTCATGCCCGGTTTCACTGTGCCTTGCTCAACTTTCCCAATTGCTGTGACTGCACCCATGTCTTTGTAGCCTTCCATCATAGGGATTCTGACTGGCCCCTCAGCTTTGCGACTCACAGTGATGCCGTCCAAGGCGTCAAGCAAGGTTTGCCCTTGATACCAGGAAGGTGTGCCTTTTCTGTCTTTGATGTTGTCACCCATCAAGCCAGACATTGGCAAGAAAATGACTTGGTCATCCTTGTAGCCGCTCTTTTTCAAGAACGCGCCGATCTTCTTAACAATCTCATTGTACCTTTTTTCATCCCATTGGACTGTAGGGTCGTCCATTTTGTTGACTGCGCACACTAGCTTGTCCACTCCTAGTGTCTTGGCAAGAAGTGCATGTTCACAAGTCTGCCCTCCTTTCTCAAAACCCGTCTCAAACTCACCTTTTCTTGCGGAGATGAGCAGGACACCAACATCAGCTGCTGATGCACCAGCAATCATGTTTGGCACATAGGACTTGTGACCGGGGGCATCCAGAATTGTGAAGCGCCGGTTCTGAGTCTCAAAAGCTGCCCGCCCAACTTCGACCGTTTTACCCTTCACTTTCTCTTCTTCACTGGTGTCCATGATGAAGGCGAGGAACCAACTTTCTCCTGCTTTTCCTGCGGCTTCCTGCTTGTACTTCTCAATAGTACGGTCATCGACCATGCCACACAAAAACAAGATGTTTCCACAGGTGGTTGATTTGCCTGCATCTACATGGCCAATGAAAACGACGTTGAGATGCGGCCTGGGATCTGGAATCTTTTTGTCTGAATCCTTTCCAGCATCTGGTTTGACTTCCTCTTCTTCCTCTTCTGGTTCTGCTTCAGCTTGGGCCGGTGGGGCGGGTGGGGCCTCTGACTTTTTTTCTTTAGGTTCTACTTTGGGCTCAACCTTCTCCTCAACCTTGGGTGGTGGTGCTTCTTTTGCTTTCACCTCTTTGCTTTCTTCCTTCTCTGCCTCAGCTTCCCAATCCTCAGGTTCATCTTGTGGCTTCGGTTTCGAAACTTCTTTCACTTCTTTCACTTTGGTTCCTTCTTTCGGAGCTTCCGGAGCTTCTTTCTTCACTTCTTTCGCTGTCGTTGTAGGTGCAAGTGCGGGTGCATCTGCCTCGGCTGGCAGCTCTCCACGCTCGAAGGCAGCTGCTCGTGCTTTTGCGGCAGCTCTTGCCTCTTCCTGACTATTTGCCGCGTGCATAGCCGTCAAAAGAAACTGATGACACATAGATGGAGACTATGAAGAAGAAACATAAGTTATTGTCATGAGTCATAAGAAGGTATGCGATAACAAAAGCAATCTAAATGTGTATGTATATTATATATATACGTATATTATATCCGTGTGTGTGTGTGCATTCAACATAGAGAGAGGGAGAGAAGGAGTGTGCACGCATACGGTGTCATACCTATACAATCCTATACATATCTATCATGTATCTGCAGAGATTTCTCCGAGACATACAAGTGCACCCTCAGATAATGTCAACAGACACACAAGAAAAAGACTACATTACATACTTTCAATACGCGTGCCACCTTTCTCTTCGTCATCAGCAGTGTGCCACATGTGCAATTTACATGCTAGAGTCTGCTACAGTGCTAGAGCAAACTCGATTTAGTCCTGCTGTTTCAGCTGTTTTTCCTTCCTTTCAGCCGCCTTTCTCTTTTGCTCAGCTTGGTACTGGTCCAAAGTCATCTCCTCATCGAATCAATCGAAAGCTGCAAGGTCTGCTACAATGTCTGCTACAAGCGGGGAAAGTCATTCTGAGAAGACAGGAGGCCAATTTTAATTCTCGAAATGCTTGTATCAGGCATTTCGGGCGGAGCAGGTGAGGGCTCTCGATGGCTCTCGGACAATGCTGTCCAAGGAACATTGGATTCTTGCTTCTTCCCTGCTGACTTTCCACTTCCCTTGCTGCTTCGATCCTTGAGCAGAGCATATCAAGACAATGGATTATTAAAGATGATTTAAGTTCTATGTGTGGCTGTGTGTGTGAATGCTTCGCCATCTCGTTGAGCCCAAGGAAAATATCAACAGCCCGGGCCATGACCTCTTAACCTGTGAGCATGAAGCACTTCACATACTTTCACCAATGCCATATGCATAATTTGTGCCATTCAAGGAGTCCTCCACAAAAGAAAGTCAGGCCAAATTTGAATCAAAAGATTTGGGTGTGGGCAGACTGCTGCTACCCCAGACCCACTCTGCATTTCCAGCCATGGGTGGCACAACCATGATCATGGATTCAAGTCACGTACAAATTGATTAGGAAAGCAGCTGCACGCTAGAAGCAGTACTTCACTTGTTTGAACTTAGTTCTCTGACAAGCAACGTATTGACGTCGTAATTACGCAGAGATATCAAAGACAAATTAATAGATATGATATCCGCTGAATCAGTCTGAATCACGTTGGATCCAACTTCATGACCCACCATAAAACACGTGCAAGTAAGGATCAGAAGTCCCCGCATTGGCTCCGAATCCGCTGCCTTTTCCTCCAGACTTTCCTGCACCCAAAGGGCCCAGAGTCAGAAAAAGTTACGCTTATCATGGCCGTTTCCAGCTACATGCTTGAAAACAATGATTATATAATTAAAAATGTGAAAAAAATGCGAGAAAAAATGCGTTTTGAAAATGCGATTGGAAAAAAATGTGAAACAAATGCATAAAAACGTGAAAAAAATAGGAAAAATGTGGAAAAACCAGGAAATTGCATGTGGTTCCTAATTTAAAGTAAAAAGATGTAAAAAGAATTTACATTCATTGTGAACCTATTGACATGAATCATTGAAAATGAATATATGCTTATGTGGAATCCTAATGTTTAAGTTTAATATTCTATGAATTTAACATTGGCTTTCAAAGAAAACCTGAAAAACACCTATATCTGGAGAAAAAAACATGGAAAATGGGCTAAGAAACAGGAACTTTTCAACTGCCATCAACTGCCTTTTGTTCCCATTTTTGCACATTTTATTCACATGTTTTTCACATTTTCAAAACGCATTTTTCATATGTTCTTGAAATCGCATTTTCAAAACGCACGTTTTCACATTTTTTCACAAAAATGTGAAAACATGTGGAAAAAATGCGTTTGGAAAAAAATGTGAAAAAATGCGTGTTGAAAATACACTTGGGAAAAAATGTGAAACAAAATGAACATGTGAAAAAATGTGGGAAAAAAAGCGTTTGAAAATCCAGTTGGGAAGGTGGAACTCTGATTTTTTTTCTTCAGGTTTGATTTTTTGGGGTCCAGTTTTGCTGCAGTTACTTTGCTGCCGGCCCAAATTCTGCAGGTTGAAAATCTGAGAGGAGCAGTTCAAATCGATCAGAAGTGGACTGGGCAGATCGCAGATCTGTTTAATATATCTATAGCAAAGCAATGACTACCAGGAGCAAACACATAAAATCAAATGCAGAAGGAAAAGAGAACAAAGCTTCAAAATTGCTGTAAAAAATACACTTGTTTCGCATTGTTTTTACATGTTTAAAATATATGTTTCCCACATTTCAAAAATAATGCACGTTTAAAACACATGTTTTTCGCATGTTTAATTCAAACTACTACAACCCTTCTGTAGCTCAGTTGGCGATGATAAAATTACGCTAGTTCACAGAAACGCTGGTTTGCTCATTGAAGCAGGGCTGACTAAAACTGACTAGCCAGAGTGCAAATCAAAGGCAATGCGATCAAAATGCCACAGCCCAGCCTTGACTTTCTCCAGGAAACTGGCCCTTGGCATTGCCACCTTGCTGACCACCTTGACCGAATGGCTGACCGCCTTGTCCGCCTTGTCCGTCTTGACCAGCTTGCTGACCAAACCCAGGCTGACCAAAGCCTTGCCTGGGGACGAAGATGAAATTTGTAAAAGGCAACAGCAACATAAAGCGACCAAGATCTGGAAAACGAATGCGATGAATCTATATAAATCATTATAAATCTATCCTATGATATCAATGATATCCATAGTCTGTAATCATATATAATCTATATTAAAAAAATCTGATGAATGATGCTTGGACGCCTTCAGAGGCTGGCATTGTAGCTACTGTATCTTCTTCATTTCATGGGGGATTTTTGATTGAATCCTGGATCCATCTAATTTAGCGCCACCTCCTGCAGCCCATGCGCTCAAGCTCAAATTTGCGGAAATTGTTCCCGTTTCAACTCAATCAATTCTTTTCTTAGAGCATCTACAGTATCATCCATCCAAACCATTCCAAACCAGATTTTCGAAGGGGATCCCGAAAAAAAGTGCTCAGCGAGATGCAGAACACCTCTTTTTCGCTTGCTCTCACGCCCACACTCGCAGCACATACAGAACACGGTCATGCGGACACAAGCACAATACAGATCATGTGAACAAAGGCACGCGCAGCCATTTCAACAGAAACCAATTCGAACAAATTCTCTGACAGAATGCAGTAGTGGTGACATGCCATGACAGAATATCAAGCACGTTTGACTCCGTTTGGCCACACAACACCCACATGGACAAAGTACGCACGTATCGGCACGTTTCCGGTCTGGGGCAAACATATGAGAATGAGGGGGGGCCTCGTTCCTTCGCTTTAGCTTAGACTTTTCCTGTCTCTCCTGTTTGGCGTTTTCTTCTCCTTGACTTCACCCTTTCAAACGATTTTAAACGTCTCTCTGTTGCACGATGCTGCACACATGCAGGGAAAAGCGTGTTTGGCTGCGCTTCGCTTGTGTCGAAGCAGCGTTTGTCTGCATCGACAGCCCAAATTTAGACATGCGATGGAAATGCGCAGATTGCACCACGCCATGCAGAGAGTTCAGTTTTGTGATGGGTTTGGGCAAGTTGCTGCACCAGCCCCACCCTTGACATCACCCTTGAAGCTCCAACCAACAAACAGACTCTTTTGGGACCCCTGCTGCACGCTCTTGAAGTGCAAAAAACGGCACGCGTGGTATGAGGGAAAGGTAGTTGCGCCATGCCATTCCAGAATTTGTTATATTTGTTTCTGCAACTGCTTTGCATGCTATCTGAATGCTATCAGGAACAGTAGGAACTATATACAACAATCAATGTAGCCATGAAATATATATTCGGGAAGGAACATAATTCATTGCAAAGACAATTCACAATGACACCGCCATAGAACTGATTGGCTACCTACTAGTCATATCTAAGCCCCAAGCAGGCACAACAGCAAGGCACCGCGTCTTCCACAGCACAACACATGATCAACCCGTACATATCCCAAAACATGGGAATCACAAGCATAATGAAGGAAAAGGTACGACATCCTAGAACCATTTTGTGCTGAAAGGGTGTGCAAAAATCAAAAAAAAGAAACGACTTAAGCTTTTCCCTGTACAAAGCTTGACTTTCTCTTGCTGAGATCCTGAGAGGAGTGGCCCACACGTCGACCAAAGGAGTGGAAGCACAGAAATTCATGGTTTCATGGAGGAGTCAGTTCGGTAAGCCCCTCATCTGTGACACCAAATCCCCCTCATCTGTGACACCAAAACCCCCCTGATTTTCCCTCATCTGCGACACCATTTTCCCCTCATCTGCGACACCATCTAGTTTTAGGGAGGGTGGGGTGGGGTGGTGGGGTGGGGGGTGGGGTGGGGTGGGGTG